TCCTGGGAAAGCGGCCGGACATCACCTGCTGCTGGTAAGTAGGGAATAATCTTTGTTTGGCTATTACATTTATTTGGTATTAGAGAATAATCTTTGTTTCCATGCGCAGCCTTTGCTATTGCTATGTTAAACTGCTTTTATCTTAATCCATGGGCCTCTTGTTATATCTTCCCTCTCCCCTGTCCCTCTAAAAAGAAGGGGTGTGATAGAGCGGCTTTGGTGAGCTCCTTGCCTCCAGTTAGGACCAAACCACTGCATCAGCCTTCCACTGTAAGGATTTGCTCACCTTAGGATCCTGTTCCTGTCCTCTGTAAGGTCCCACTAATAGAAGTTTATTGTTTGCCTGCAGTGATTTTAGAACGTGGGTTACTATTGCTAGCATTTAGAAAAAGTAAGAAAGTGCTGTATGCATTGAAAAAATAAAAGCTCAAAATTAATTTAGAATCTTTATTCCCTGAGAGTAACATGCATTTGTGAGCGTTTGCTCATGTCGCAAGACAGACAGACCGTGTGGGATTTAAGTCTTCCTCTTGTGATTTTTAAAAGTGTAACTTCGAGGAGAGGGAGGTAGGTTCAAATGATCGCTCCTTGTACAAATGTTTGCTCCTTGTTGGCTGAGGGGAGACTTTATCACTTTTTATCATTCCTTCTCACTCCTTCTCACTCTCTACAACTACCTGAAAGGCAGCTGTAGTGAGACGAGTGTTGGCCTCTTCTCCCTGGTGAACAGCGATAGGAAAAGAGCGAACGGGTTCAAGTTGCACCAGGAGGAGTTTAGATTGGATATTAGGAAGAACTCCTTCACAGAAAGGATGGTGAAGCACTGGAATGGGTTGCCAAAGGAGGTGGTGGAGTCACCATTCCTGGACGTGTTTAAAAAACGGTTGGATGTGGCACTTGAGGAGGTGGTTTAGTGTTAGGGTGGTGTAGTGCTGTAGGTTGGACTTGATGGTCTTAAGGTCCTTTCCAACCTTTATGATTCTCTGTTAGCATGCGATGCTAACTGGGAGGAGTGGTTGACACACCAGCAGGCTGTGCAGCCATTCAGAGAGACCTGGACAGGCTACAGGGCTAGGCGGGCAGAAATCTTACGAAGTTCAACAAGGGCAAGTGTGGAGTTTTGCACTTGGGAAAGAATAACTGCATGTGCCAGTATAGGTTGGGGATCGACCTGCTGGAGAGAAAGGGACCTGGGCGTTCTAGTGGGCAGCAGGATGACCATGAGCCAGCACTGTGTCCTCATGGGCAAGAAGGCCAATGGCATACTGGGGTGTGTTAGAAAGTGGGTCAAGAGACATCGTCCTCCCCCACTATTCTGCTCTAGTGAGGCCACATCTGGAATATTGTGTCCAGTTCTGGGCCCCTCAGCTCAAGAGAGACAGGGAACTGCTTGAGAGAGTCTAGCGCAGAGCCACAAAGATGATGAAGGGAGTGGAACGTCTCCCTTATGAGGAAAGGCTGAAGGAGCTGGGGCTCTGCAGCTTGGAGAAGAGGAGGCCGAGAGGTGATCTCATTAATGTTTATAAATATGTCAAGGGGGAGTGTCAGGAGGACAGAGCCAGGCTCTTCTCAGGGTTGTCCAATGACAGGACAAGGGGCAATAGGTACAAGCTGGAACACAGGAGGTTCCACAAAAATATCAGGAAAAACTTTTTCCCTGTGAGGGTGCCAGAGCCCTGGCACAGGCTGCCCAGGGAGGATGTGGAGTCTCCTCTGCAGACATTCAGAACCCACCTGGATGCATTCCTGTGTGACCTACTGTACGTGAGCCTGTTCTGGCAGGGCAGCTAGACTAGATCTTTTGAGGTCCCTTCTAACCCCTAAGATTCTGTGATTCTATGATGAGATTCTAGTGCTCCTTGGATGATTAAAAGATCATAAATATGGTGATATGAAAGAGAACTAGCATCAAAGTAAGCAACTCGGTGCACAATATAGTCATAGATTGAAAGGTGAGCTTGGTATTTTCCTTTAAAATAGCGTAGTATTTTCTTTATATTCTACAGCATCTGTCTGTGGGGCTTAAAAAAATAATTTAAAAAAATCAAAGAAAATGGGAGAGGTCTCTGAACGTTTTCTTCACCAAAGATAAGTAGAGAGATTATCACGTTACCAGTTAAGCAGCTGATTCAAAATGGCATATACTGTCAGTAAAATCTTCCCTCACTGTCTTTAAAATCATCCTCAAAATTATTTCTATTTGCTCCAATGGCTGGATGTAGTCCTAGAGTCTAGACCCAAGTCATGTAGAGTAAATTAGCTTTTAATTTTGCATATCTCTGTTGCTCTGATGTGTTCAGTGATAAACGCTTTCGGTGGTAAATTACTTTGAACTTCCTCCCATTTAGATTTGGTATCCCAAGGTCTTACCGTCAGTTAAGTGCCACCTATGGAAGCTCAAATACCATTTTCAAAGGGAACAGAAGTGAGCCTGTATTTCAACCACCTGGAGCTTTCTTTTCCATTCCTATCACTAAGCAATCTTAAATGAACAGAAGTTAAAAAAACGCAGAGATTTAATTGTGGCCAATTTGAATATTGAATAAATAACTAGAAACCTAGCCATTTCAAAAGCTGGAAACCTAAAGTAGCCAGAGGTTAATACACTTGGAAAAAACCTTTCATTGGTATCAGCTTCTTTCACGTAGAAAGAACCATTTTTTCTAAACTCAGGTTTGTAAGAGATTGGCTATCTTTTATTGGATGAAAGACAATAGTTGTGCAGTTCTTATGAACATGCACTAATTAATTACATATTAGTGAGATAAGAATGCATTGTTCCTATTAGCAACTGAAAAAAGAAAGGGACGTGCCAATTGGTTTGTATTGTGGCTTGAACATCCAGGGTCCAAATGCCACGTCTGTGCCAGGGCACTTGACAGTGAAGGTGTAACATTGAGTGTGCTCATGGGGTTCGACGTCTTTCTGTCTCTGTGACAGCTGTGATAACTCAGAATATTAAGCAGATCACTTTTAAATACCCCTTTAGCTAAACAGCTGCAAAGCAGTTAGCTTTTCAGTTGTTTAGAATCTCTTTTTATCATTCTCTTCTCTCTTTCTTTATGAAATTAAAAACTCATAATTGCACTAAACCAGGCTATAATAAAGCCAGTGCATGCACGTTTTAAACAATTGTTTTAGCACTGTAATTTTTAAGCAGTTAATGAAAGTTATTGTTTTAGATCTAGTCATGTAAGTGTAAAATTATGAATGTCTGCCCTATTAATCAAGTTGCTTTTGAATTCTAAAGAGATTCTGAGGTAGGAGTTTACTCAGCGAGACATAATCGTTTTTTCAGCTCAGTGCAGAGCAGTCCCATTATTCATGTTTTCTTTTGAATAAGAATTCACACTGTAATTCTAAGCATTTGTGATAATTACAAAGGATTTTTTATTTCTTTTTTTCCCCCCCTTTAAAATGCTTTTTTCCCCCATTGGCATTATAACAGAAAATAGAATATTATGATCAGATTAAATTCTATTCTGGGCACTTGCATTTTGCCTGGCAAATTTTACCCATTTTCTTCTCTGACTGTGGTGGTGTGCAGCTGTGTGTTGTTAAACCGCTGCTGCCTGTGCCGGAAGATTTGTGCAGTTCAGAGCTTATGAAGGATGTCAGTTGTGGCTGTCCAACAAAGGAATTTGTTTGTTGTACACATGATTTTATATATATTAAAAATGGGCTTAGTATATACTTATCCAGATAAAGCCTGAGGCAATCAATAATTGAAAACATGAAGAGATTAGAAGGCCATTATATATACATACATAATTAGAAATGCAAGTATCATTACGTCCTTACAGAGATGACTGAAATGCGACCTTTCTAGCAGTTGGTATTTTCTAATCCCTTGTGTAAATACCTGTTATGGCTGTGCTTATTCTGTTGTGGTAATGAGAGGCTTAAGCCCTCAAACCCATCTTCTCTGGTGTTTTGCTGTTCCTCCAAGCTGGCTCAACTCCGGAGCAGCGCAGCATGCTTGTCTAGTGGGAAGTCAAACGTGTGGAGACCTGATCTGAATTTAAGCTCCTCTTTGCTGAAGCTGTATGATGAAGCCAAAGCCGAGGTTTTGATGGCTTCCAAAGACAATAGTTAGGTAAGTTCAATGGCTCCAGCTGCTATTTGGCTTCTTAACTTGCTCTGTGACCATAAGCCAGATTTTTTCAAAAGCAGTCAACTGGTTTAGTGTCTCCAATTCTGCAATGTTTGACCATAGTGTTTTGAAATGTGTACCCTAAAAAGTTTGAGTGGAGACACTTGGGCTTGGGACAGCAGGCACCTTGGCTCAACTAGTGCCTTTTTTATGGCTTCAAAGTTTTCTGAGCAACTGCAACCACCACATCACTTGTAAGGAATGTGGAGGACAGGTGGGTAAGGTACGGATGCTCAGGATTTCCTGTTGGTACCTACTGAAACCCATCAGTTCCTTTGCCCTCAGATAGTCACCTCAAACATAATAAACCTTCCTTTGGAAATGCCTTTTCTCCAGCCAGTGGAGATGCAGATGTACCTTGATCTCTGTCCTTGAAATTCTGGATGTGTCTTCTCTCTCCATAGCCTACATGGGGAATCGGTGGCTATGTTAGCCAGGATGGATTTCTTACCTTTCTTGATCTAGTTGACAGGTGCAGGGAGGCTGGATTAAAATGATCTCTAAGGTCCCTTCCAGCTTAGGCCATTCTATGATTCTATGATTCTATGATTCTTTGCCCTACTCAGACAGGTTTTGCACAGAGTAAAATCATCAATCCAAGTAGATTGGATTTCAGACGATAACTTTTAGTTTAGGATAGTCTAGTGCAATAGGTGATTAATTTGCTTGTTTAAGTCCCTCCTTTTTTTTTTCCCCCCACTGGTTTTTGGAGGGAGGGTGAAGAGCGATGGAAGTATGATATCTCGTCTTTAGTAAATGGAGACAGATCCAAAAAGAGAAGCTACTGCTAAAGATATAAACCATACCAGCTATTTTTCATTCACTGATACCACTCAGTGCTATGCACTTTTGGATTTAATAACATTTTTATTTGTATCTGCATCATCTGGTTATCACTGCAATGCTACAAGGTTGGGAGATTAGAGAGAAAAGTGTATTCTCGTCATACAAGTAATTTACAACATTTTGAAACACCAAGATAAACGGTGCTAATAGTTGCAGCCAGAATTCACACAAACATGCCTGAAAGTTACTGTACAGTATGACTTTTCTTAAAGTTTGCAATGAAAAGTGACGAAGCAATAAGAACACCACAGAGAATGATTTCAATGGGTGATGAGGCCCATGAGCGCTTAACAATTGCTGTCGTGGATTAGGCGGCACTTCAGAAGCTTGAGATAGTTGTCGATTTTGTGGGAATCTCGGCGGAGGCAATGCAGCAGGTTGTAAAAGGCGAAGAGTCTGGAGTCCTCATCAGCAAGTTGCAGGGATGGAAGGCCTTCCCACTGAGAGTAAACCTCGTTTCCAATCTCACCAGAATTAACCTAAAGACACAAAATGACACTGCAGGAAATGACAGTGAATGTGACAGGGGGTAGAAGAGCGCATTGAAAACACTGTGCTTGAGGAATGTTAATTGCTAGTGTATGGCTTGTAAAGTGTCTCCTGTCACGGTTCCCACTATTCTGTATAATGTTCTGTATCTTCATGCAGATTTTGAAGGAATTTGTAAGATTTTTCAGTTTGTTTTCCAGCAGTCTGTGCCTATTGGTGCTTCTGCATCATCCTTATTTCCCACCAGCTATGCTTTCTAAAAGCATGTAGGAGAGTATCTGTGGGGCCTCTATCACTCAGTTTAAGCCACAGGCGAGAAAAAAAAGGATAGAGCTACTACCACTGAAACCCATGGTTTGACACTAATGAATTTGCCAGCCTTGTCTTCAACCTCCTTCCGTAAATACCGTGAATGAGGAGGTGGTGACAGGGTAACTGTAGCAGAACCTGACTTCTACTGTATCTCAGATCCTCGCCTGCACCTTTTTTACATCTGGGTATGGGAGAGAGATGTATTTGATTACACTGATAAATGCATTTGTGGCCTGGATGGGCTAAGGTTTCTGAGTAAAGAGACATGTAAGTGAAAGGGAGAGAGACCATGAGTGATCCAGTGGGAAGCAGTGGATACAGACATGGTGGCACTCTTAATGCTCTTCAGCTGTTCAGAGCCTGAGCAAAAGCCAGTAAAGTCAGAGCCTCTTGTTAACATCTAGCTTGCTGACAGAATGATATATTCAGAGACTAACAGAGTCCTCTTTAAAAATAAACAAGCTAGAGCTGATTTTATTCAGGAAAGCTTTCAGTCAGTGACTGATAACAAGGGGTATTTGAGTATGGCTTTTGTCAGACAGCAGCCTTGTTGTCTAACCGTACAAGTGCAGGGAGAACCAAGGCAGAGCCAGAGCTCAGAGGAGCCAGTATGGTGCAAAAAGAGAAATGAGAGATACCAGAGTTATTTTGCTGTATGCCACATCTTTGCAATAGCCCAGACTTCCGGAACACTTTTAAACACAGTATCTGAAAGCTAGACATTACCTATATGTATGCAGAGAAATACGCAAGACTGTACATAGAAATATGTGCATGTGAAAAAAACACAGACACATGCCTTTTAAAATCAGGATTGCAAATTCAAAATACTCAGATATAGAATGACCATGAGCAGTCCTGATAATTACACCTTCCCTGGAAGCAGGACTGGGAGTACGGGGATTATGCTATGCCAGTCACATCACATTGTCTCTTTAGCAATTGCAAGATAGCAGAAGAAAAGGTAGCTGAAGGAAGAAAAGCTGAAAAGTTCTCGGATTCGGCTGTCTTTTTTTCCTTCACATCTACTGTTTCCTCTCCTATTCCAGGTAGGGAGGCCCTGCCGCTGTATGCGTCTTCCTTCCTGCTGGAGAGATGTGAAGAACCTGTTACTTACCCTCCCAACTATTTTCTCCATTCCTTCTAGGAGCCGCTTGTTTTGTTCTTCAATCTCTACAGCCTTCCAGAGGATGGTGTCTGGGGCTTCCTTCATTCTTTGTACTTCAGAGACCAGGTGGATCAGGGGATCATTCCAGGAGCGCAGCACTCCCAGTACTAAGTTCAGTAGGTCCTCGTGCTGCTTGCCCATGTTAAGAAAAAGGCAGTTAAAACGGGAAGGCTAAATGCTGGCAGCATTAGGGGGCATTTAGAGCAGTGTCCTTGGGCATAGTGATTTCGGAACGTATTCCAGGACCTACCACTGAATGTGCCCTGTAGCCTTGTCTTCGGTATCTCTATGCAGTGGCATTTTAGAAGTTTGTCAGTGTTGTCATCATGTTTAATTATATTGGCACAAGCAGTCACAGTCTTGTACTGGAACATGTCACTAAACCCACTCCGTGTTAAAAACTGGCAAACACAACAGCGTTTCATCTCTGCACAAGACTATCTTCGTGGTCCCTTGGGTTTATAATTATTAAATTTATGTACATCTCATATTTCTCTTTACAGGTATTATGCAGTATTTTGCAATAGAGTCTTTGTACTTGGACAATGATGTGTCTACTTTTGCCTACTGGTAACAGCAAGAATACCTATTTAGCATTTATTTAGTAATGTCCATGCTTTCAGTTATTGGAAAGCAATTTACTTCTGCCTGCATACAGCATTCATTATATGGTCAATATATTTTTATATTTGTGAATATGATAATTGTCTATAAGGTGGTTTAAGATAACTTTCAAAGGTTGTGGAGTTCTCAGTACTGTACAAGCATTGTAACTGGTATTGCTCCATGAGGTTATGTTATAACTGGAAGTGAGGTGCAATGACTGCATGTGACGTGCAGGAAAAGGAAGGAAGATGAAAGTCATCTCATATATTGTGTATAGTCTGTACCTTTGTACCAGCAAATGTTAGATCAACTTTTCTTGGGGTTTTGGTGCTTTCCTCTTCCAGCTTTTTTTTTTTTTTTTAAAATTCTGACTGAGCTATTTCCCTCTCTCTCTGTCTGCTGCCTCTCTGTTCCTTAACCCTCTCTCTCTACCAGCTCTGTCTCACACTGAATGACATTAGAAATGGGACTTACGTGAATCTGCTGGGCTTGCTCCTTATCTTCAGGAGTGGTTAAGGAGGAAGTGTGGCAGCCATTAACAGCTTTTATAATAAAACCCCGGCCCTGAGCGTAGCGCTCATCCTGCAGGTCAGCAAGAACAGGCATTATTGAAACAGATAAGTAAGAAGAGCTTCAGTTCGAGCAACACTAGGTGTTGCTCCATTGCTTTTGTCACTGCTTTTATGCTGGAAACGTCAAAAGTTTCTGGTGAGTCTTTAGAGTAAAACTGACACCCAGCAAACATAAGCTTGTCCCACAGATAAAGAATGATGAGAAAATGGTATCTTTTAATAGAATGGTAGGGGATCTTAGCAGTGGTCAGCACTATACACAGATTTGGTCACTGTTGGGATGATCAGTGCCTACTCAGTAGTTATATTTAAGGATTTTGTATGTTAACACATGTTTGTGCTTAAAAAGTATTAAATTGTGGTTTTATGTTTTCTCACACTCAGGCAAAGGCAGAGTACTTACAAATTCATCGAACATTTCTGAACAGAGGAAGTGGATGTAGTGTGAAAGTTTAACCGCTCGGTCAAAAAGTTCCTCAAGGGAAACTTGGCAGTTGACAGATCCACTGGGGCAGATTGGCAGGGAGGTCACTCCTTCCTTCGTCAGGAGCATGTTGGACACCAGAAGGACCACCAGCAACAAACCTGTTCAGGTTTAAAACAAACCAAAGTGGAATCACCTTGGGTTGTATGTGCACTTTGAAGTAGCTGTCAGAGCCAGATATGGGGTGATTTTGGCTGTGCTGTCACAGGGCTCAGAGTACCCCCTGTATTGGCTGCTGAAACTCAGTGGAGGAGAAGCACTGTAATTCTGTTATCCTTTCTCCCCTCTGTCATCCTTGCTGTATAGCAAGAGACAAGGTAATCTGCGTTGCAACGTACGCTGTATTCAAAAGTCTCTTACTATCGTGCCTGACTTTATTACGCAGTGATAAACAGAATAAAAAAACCCCAGTCTTATTCACAGTGTAAATATAGATACATAATTATATTTGCACAAAGACGTAAGTTTGGAAAATAGATTAGTCTTTTTTTTTTTTTTTCCTTCTCCTCCTCCCACATGTCCTTTTCTTCTTTGAAAACGTTTGGAATTTATATTAATTTTGTGGGAGGGTAGTTAGGTCACTCTCTTAAGTTTTTGATTGTCCTGAGAGCTCCTTCAGAAGATTTCTACCAGCTGCACTACTTTGCTGTTTAGAATTTAACCCCAAATTGCCTACTGCTAAGAAATTAGATATCTTTTGTCTTTTCTCCTGAGCTTCTGAAAGCTATTCTGATAGATAGGACTTCTCATTATCAAAACCACAAAACCTCGTCTGTTTAAAACCTTTAATATTAGCTTAATGGAGTCAAGTTTTCTGTTAAGTGAAATGAAATATGCACAAACAAGGGAAAAAAAAATAAAGCAAATATTTGGTAAATTTGATGAATATTTGCTAAATAAAATACTTATTCAAGGAATCCTGTTCTATGCTCTGAGAATTTTAGTTCTGGAAATCGGCCTGTATTAGTTCACTAGACTTATTTTAAATGCTAATTTAAAGTGTGCTCCATAAATCAGCAGAGCTGTCCCTAATATTGTCAGGTGATAAGTTTCTTTCAAACCCTAAATCAAGAAAAGTGCATTTGCACAATATCGAAGTAAGCCTTCCTCCTGCCACACAAACAAGTTACACACTGCACGCTGTGTTTAGGAAAGTACTCTGGGAAGTAATTCTATGAATAAGGGAACCTGGGACTTTTTGGCTTAGAAAGCTGAAGATGGCTATGAAAACAATCACTTCAAAATTACTACATCATTTCTAGACTTGCAGATAAAGACTTTTAGCCATTGTCTTTGGAGCGGTGCAGCAAAGCAGTCTGGGTCCAGTCTTTCCTGTAGCGGTGTCACGTTCCCCAAGCCAATTTTTTGTGACACTGCCCAATGCAAAGATGGTCTTAGAAGACAAAAGGCTGAGTACAACAAGCTGCCTTATAGTTCCAAGCTTCGGACACTAAACATTTGAGGTGGAGGCAGGTTTCACCATTACTGGAAGACTAGGTGTCTGGAAGACCTCACTTTCTAGAGCTGTTACATTCAGTTACTTCCTAATTCAGTCTAAATGTGAAGAAATATAAAAGTTAGCAGTAAGTGAATGGCAAAAGTCTCACCTTTCAGTGAAGCCCCCTTGTTGCTCATGGTAGAGATCCTGTACGATGACTTGCTCTACCAGAAAGAAGCCTCGATACTTGCCCTTATTCCCCGCACATGCCACTTTTATATACACCAGCCCAGGTCCATTTTGCATACATTCAGCAGGTCGTGGAGTTTACTTCGATAATTACAAACATCAAATTGTCTTTCTTCCACATTCATATTCAGTGTTTTTTTGTTTCTTGTTTTTAACTGTGAGAGGGAATTTCATTAACAAGTTCAGCTGTGGGATCCCATGTATGGTGGGATGAAGAGAGTGCCAAATTTTTTTTCCTGAATGAGGTGCAAATGCCATTGATCCCGGAAAGCTCCCGTTGTCAGTTCCCAGACAGGTATTCTCATTGTTTCTAGCCTGCTGTTCCTCTTCCCAGCGCCTGTCTACTCATCCTTCCTTATTTCTTCAGGTATCCTAGCTTGCCTATGTTAAAATCCTGTCTCTTTGTGAGAGGCAAACAATATTTTGCAATGTCTGTGGTGGGAGAAACAGCAGAAATTGTTCAAAAAGATCAGGTTCAAAAAGGTATTACACAGCACAAATCATGATAGAATTGATCCTCAGTCTGAGAGATGTTTAGAGAAATGCGGGCAGTTCTTATGTTAAAAAGTAATAATTTTCAGCAGCTGAAGAGGAAGAATGTACATATTTAATCAGAAATGTTTCGTGAACAAGTCAACATTATTAAAAAAAAAATCCAAACCTCAACAAACTTCTACAAAAACAGGGCAACTTGGAAACTGTCTGCGTAAAAGATGGGCATTTCCAGCATAGGCAAAACATATGGTGCTGTAATCATTGGGATTTATTTTCAGACCTGACGTGTCTGTGGTAATCTACAAACTAGCCGCAGCAGGCTAGCCCCGTTTTCTTGTGGTAGGAGGCTCATCTCTGTGAATACGTTAGCAAATGTGTAATCTGTTTTTCAGGTCTGCTTACCCACAGGAAGTCTTTCCAAATTAGACGATTATAATGAATAAGGCATATAGTGTTAATGAATTGCCTTTAGACAACTTGTTCCATACTTGTGGAACCAGGTACGTATGTAACTCTGCGTCCTTCATTTTTTTTCATAGCTATAGACGTGATTCTGGAAGCAACCATAAACAAGGGAGAGGAAAGTTAGAACATTTAGGGTGCAAACCATGGAAGGCATGCCTTGGGAAGCAATTAACGGAGAGGCTGCAGCAATAAACCAGAACTGGTGACAAATGGTCTGCACGTGCTAAATTGTAGGATGACTGTTAGATGAGTTTGTTCTGCTTAGAGGCTGGATCTTGTCTGGAAATTGAGTCCCTGCTGAGTAAATGATGCAGTTGTCTGCAGCAAGGAAAAGGGGCAATCTGATGAAGGCAATAAAATTAGAATAGAGCCACACCAAAACTCCAGAATGGATGTTAGGGGAAAAAAACTGTCTTCTAAGCCATAGCCATATGGCTTATGATCTTGATTTAATTCAGCTTCATTTGACAGTCTTCCCCAATAAGATTACAGGTGGTCTTGAAAAATTCTATCTTCTAACATTAGAATGAGCCCTATGAGTAAAAGCAGTTAACACTTCTCAGCCCACCATTTGCTCTTTCATTCACTAGTCTGTTTTCTCGGCGTTTTGAAGGGTTGATAGTAATGCCAAAATAAAGCACAAAATTAATATCAGGGACTAGATAACAAATGCAGGTAAACTCCCTAGACTCCCTTAACCATTATTGGGGAGGGAAACTCTTCTTAGGCCTGACCCAGCAGCTCAAGTCAGGATCCTCATATGACTTACCTTAAAGAAGAGCTTCTCTCATGCTGTGTAAGGGTAGAAAAGCACCTTAAATGTAGAGGTTAAGATGTTTATTTGTGGCTGTGCAAGAAGCCTTTAGGAAAAAAACAACCACGAAATTCATGATTCCCAGACTTGGATTTTAAGTGAAGACCATAATTTCTTACTAGTAACAAAAAGAAAACAAAAGTGAGAGAAGAGGAAGGAGAGGGAACGTTACAATAACTAGAAAGAGATAGCCCAATTATTAATTCTCTTTTATAAATGGGGATTTCTGTTCTATTTAAAAGTTGAAAAAAAAACCACCTTGAAAGTAGCTGGAAATGTTCCCCTCTGCCTTTGGGATGTGACCTGAATTTATATCCTCCAAAGAAGTGGCATGGAACCCGCCATCCCCTCTTCTCTGAACCTTGGTAAAGGAAGCTGATCCTAGCCCGTCACAGTCTCCTCGTGCTGAGAGTAGCTCAGAACAGCTCCCTAGATAGCGGGGCGGTCACCACAACAGGGGTAGCAAAATGAGTAGATTGTTACCATCCAGTGTCAAGTATATGCCAAAAGAAGGGCTTACTGTGTGCCCACTTTATTAGATAGATTTTAGCTCATTATTCATGACACACAGGCAGTATATGGGATGTATCAGTATTGCACATCAGAGCATTTGCTGCTTATTTCCCAGTAATCTTATCTTTCCAGCTCGTATTTGCTTGCACACCATGATTTATACTGTCATATTTTGACTGACAGCTATTGATCAGTACTGGAAGATTGAATATTCCAAATCCGTTGTATTTTATTTAAAGTTTTTGAGATATGCAGAGTGTTGTGCCTGATTGATAGCTACCACAGAGGAATGAAAAATCTTTTCGGTTAGAATAGTTCTTTGCAGAATACTTATTTTGAGTTGGTGAATTGAAGACTGGATAATATCACTTGATTTTTTTTCTTTTGCTTATATGGAAGTATCCATTTTTAATAACAGAATGTTAATGCAGAAGTTAGAAACACCAAATTGTTATGCTTTAGAAGATGATCCCCAAGTTACGTATGCAGATGACTGAGCACGCAAAAGCAGAAAAATATTCTCATATGTGATCTGATTGGGTGACCCTTCCCATACACAATGAAACCAAAGGCTTTACGTGTTCATGTTTTGCACATGTAAGTTGAAGTCATAATACTGAAAATACTGTTGCTTTTGTCTTCCTTTTATAGAAGAGTTCACAAAGTTATCCAGTCAGCTTCATTTAATGGTTATGCTTGGAAAGATATAAAACTATTTAGTTTAATTTGGTTCAAAACCAAATCCTTGAAGTACTTTGACTTTTAAAACGTGAAAAATACATTTTGAGGAGTAGCATAACCAGAATATTTTTTCAATCTTGATAGTTTCAAATGACAAATATTTTGTCTTTTCTGATTACTCTCTATAATCTCCATACAACTTTTGTGCAAAGTTCAAGTGATTTTCTAGGATTCTGTAAAACAAGGGAACACTTCTTCCTATAGGGAATGGGAGAATATAAAAAGCATTCTCTCCAAATGTTCCTCTCAGCAATGGGGGATTGAGTATTTCTTGGTGTGATCTCTACGTGAAAGCTGGTAAAAAATAGATAAGAACATAAGGAAAATGATTCCATATGGAGAAAAAAAAAGGTGGAAATCTTTGTGAGATTTTCAGTTTACTTTTAATTTAATTTTAAATACCAGTGTGGTTTCATACAACTTCAGAAGCCTACATAAAAATAAAATGGCAGAACATGTTTCAAAAATAATTCATCAGTGTTGCCACTAAGACGACATGTGCCAAAGTGCATCATGAAATATTAAGTGTGAATCCCAAGTAGAATTCCAGCTAACGATAGCAAAGAAAAAAAAAAGGGGGGACAGGAAGGGTGCGTGAAGTTTGCAAAGAACAGAGTAAAAGCCGGCTAGTATGTCTTTGTCCTGATCCTGGAAGTTGCTTGAAGTCTGTGGCTTTGTGTTCGCTAACGCTGGCTCTGTGTATTATCAAATAACCTGGCAGTATAAATTTGACCTGGATGACGTATTACCTGCATTATAGCATTTCAGTTGAATTATCAAGAGACCACCTTACGGTAATTATCCCGGCTTGATACTTGATACCGGATTCATCTGAATGTGGAGATTGGGTAATAATGATCTGACACCTGCTAGCACAAAGATATCCTACAAAACTTTTCGTATAAATCTGAAGTAGCTGGGTGAGCCTGCGCTGCTTTAGCATTTCACGTCACGTGGCTGCTATATTATTTATTCTATACCTTAAATCCAGTTTTCTTTTTTCAGGGCTTGAAAACTAGCAATTTTAAAAGTAGAGACAAGTAAGGGGAATCTCCACCCTCTAAAAAAAAAAATCTTCAAGATAGATTCCTAGGAGCATGGCTGTAGAGTTGAGGATGTGAGCAGTTGTGACAGCTGCTTCTGTCTATCCACTTTGAGTCTCAGTCTGCCTCTAGGGTGGTGGAATTACATACTGGGCCATGATTGGCCTGAATTCCAAAACTGTAAGCTGCAGTCCAGTCCAAACGGAGAACTATTATAAACGTAGAATTATTTGCAAACTTTGACCTATTAGATACAGTTACTGCTATGAAAATGCTGTATTATCTGCAGGAAAAAGTACTCTTGATTCTCAGGCATTTTGAACATCGTAACTCCAAAGGCTGAAAACCTAGTGATTGAAACAGTTTGTGTGTTTTGCTTCTTTTCCCATACATTTGCTTTTTTCTCCAGTTTATTTCCCTTGACCATGTTCTGCTACAATTAATAAGTTATTCTCCATAAAATCCTGATTTCAGGTGATCCTTCTTCTGGATAAAGTAGAATGAGCTTCAAGAATTTCCTTAGGATGGGCACGTCACAGTGGAACTTACTAGGTGTTTTCCAAGGTTTGTGGTTTATATGCTTCTGTTCTAGCTTGCAGTGTTTGGTTTTACTAATGGGTGGTATCCCCAAACAATGGAAAGTTTGACCTGCGCTTTAGAAAAAGTACTTTTTTTTTCTCCTTATTAGAGGTATTATTTAGTCAAATAATATCTGATATGTACACATAAGGATTGAATGAAGAGAAGACTGTGAGTAGAAAATTTCTTTGCGAGTGTGGTATTAGCTGAAAGTCAAATAGCCCACAGAGACCAGTGCTGATATTCTTGCTTCTTTGAGAGGTTCTCACTCTTAGTTGTGCACTCATCAGTGGGAGGAATGCCTAGTGCTGCTCAAAATTCTCCCTTTCAGAATGGGATAGAAGTAATACTGAAACAATGTGACCTTTATTTAGCTGTCTTTAAGGAAGCATTCAGTGTAAGAGGTTTCTGCTACTGATTCCAAAATCTAACACATTTTCTTCTCTTCATTTATTTGTTACTGTCTCTAAAGCTAATAAATAAATAGAAATAACTAATTAATAATACTGAAGGGATGAAGTGTGTCTGTTGGGCATGTCCTGATCCACAGGGAATTTGGAACCTCAGATCTTGTTTAGTGTCTCATGAGAAATATTTTTTGTTGTTGAATCTCC